AAAAAAAAAAAACATTGACTGAGCTCATCCTCTGCCTTAAGACTTGTGTATGTTTTGTTGGCACAGAAATACTAAGACATAGATAGGTCCTACCCTCAGGATTTAAAGAAGATTATCTGAATTTTGGGTGGTTTGTTTTCTTTCTTACCTGGGCTTTCCAAATATTCATCAGTCAGCATGTTTCACTTTTGTAATAATTTTTTTTTAAAGGAATAGAAGGCATAGTCAGACCTGTTAGACCATAAGTTATCCAAGGACAGGAACTATTTGTTATTCACCTTTGTATCTCAGAGTACTGGCCCACAGTCTGCCACTTAATGGGTATTTAATACATGTTGGTGAATGAATATGTGACCTTTGACCTCATTTCAGTTCTCCCAAGAATTTAGGACTGCTTCATAAATAAAATCTCAATATAGGACCAAGAGATCTATAAAATAATTAGTTCTGGGTATACGACTAATAATATTCCACTAGAGCCTGTTTGCAAACACAGATGGAATGCAAACTTTTGGGGAACTGATTTTAAAATAATATAAGCCTTAGCCTCGGAGAGAGGAGGTTCTTAGTAACATGCTGTGCAGAAGAGTGTCCAGACACACTCTCTTGCCTTGGACAACATTCTTAGGCAACTCCAGCCTCAGTTTTATCTGTAAATTGGGGATAATGATGCCCAGCTAGAAGAGCTGTTTGACGTAGGGCTCAATTTATTGGATGAAGACTCACTGAGCTGACCCTATGTGGTGGTGACCGGGCAGGGAGCGAGGCAGACATGCTCACTCCCTCAGTGGGCCAGCAGGCTAGTGGGGAAGGCAGAATTCAGTGACGCTCGTATGTGATGCGGTGCCTGACAAATGTTAATGGCCAGCCTCTAATAAACGTGGAGCACTATACTCTCCCCTCCCACCCCGACTCAGTCAGGACACTAGGGTAGAAACAGCTGGAGCATGCTGCCAACTTTGTTCAGTGGCCTGTGTTTCCCATCATGATGGGATCCACAAGGGAGCAAGGCACTGAGTCTACACCAGGAGTCTCACAGAAGAGACTAATGACAAAATGGAAGAGACGAGTCGCAGGCTCATATGTTAATAGAACTTTAACTTCTTGCCACGTAAACAGAAGGTGGTAAAAAAAAAAAAAAAAAGAACTTTAAGTAGGTCTTCATAAACCAGCACTGTGGAAGTACTTTTATAAGAAAACACCCCAAACTGCTACTTAGAGAACTTCTGGCCTTATTCTTTTCCCTCATCACATAACCCCAACTGTGTTAAGTATATTATTAAACACATGCACTGTTGAAAAAGCAAATATTCCGAATTTGGGTGTAGACTTCAGCAGGGACGTTGGAGAGAAAGGTTGCCAATAAGGCTTAAGTGCTGCTTCTCCATCTGGAAGGGACTTGTGGAAGTCATCAGTTTTCATTTCTCTGCCTCTTGGCTGGCCCAGGTAGGAGAGCCCAACTCGGCACAAGGTGTTGCTGATAACGGTAAGAGTCACTGATCTGTGCAGTATTACACAGTTGGCATAAACTACTCAGGAACTCCTTCATTTGCTCCTCCAAAACCCTGGAGGAAGTGCAGAGCAGTGTTGTTTATCTCCATTTCCTCGATGAGACAGGGAAGTGAAGCGTTAAGATCGTACAGTGACAGAGGACTGGCTCTGAAAGCTCTTGAATTTTAGTCCAGTGCTCTTCCCGTCACAGCATTCAGTGCAGCGGAGGGTCTCTGGCCGAGCCAAAGGCCCACCCGCTTAGCTCTGCTCCAACCCATCTCTACCCATTCTCCTCTTGAAAATGCTCCATCAAGGACCAGGAGCCTGGGCACAATCCACACTAATAGTTTTTTCTAACTTTGACTCTGGATTAGGTCCACAGAAGATTCCTCCCTCATTTTTCCTGCTTCTACTTTGATGCAAATCAGAGTATGGAATGGAAGAGGATCACGACACCC